TAATTTTTTACAATATAAATTGATACATATTTTTTTAATAATATATTATATTATAAATTTATAATATCACCTAATATTATAATTATAATATTTTTAACAAAATAAATTAATAAAAGTTTATTATTTTATACTTTTTAATCTAAAAATATTATATTATAATTTAATATAATTTAAATTATAAAATAATTTTTAAAATTAATAATCCCTCTTTTAAAAGTATTAGTTTCACAATCGGATACTGTTTGAAAAGTAAAACCGTAATCCATTTACCGACCCGTTTCTCACTATGGATTTGGAGACTGGTTTGGATGCCAGCTGGAAACATGACGCAAGGAATGACGTGACAAAATAAAAAAGGGTAAAAATTTTCAGAAAATCCAAATTCTTAATTTTGCATTTTTTTTCAACCACTTCAGTCTTCGTCCAAACCCTTTTTATAGGCGAGCCCAGTGCAGCGGTAAAAGACTTCACAGACTTCACAACACCTATACCCAATACCACCGCCCTCTTCTCCCCGCACCTTCGCCGGAGTTCTTCCCCTTTTTTCTATATTTATGGACAAAGGGTGGGGTCTCACCCTCGATTCTGATCCAATTTCTTTCTTCACCAACAAGTCGCCGCCGCAGTCTTCTGTCAACCACCCTTTCTTCGCCATCAAGCGAGAAATGTTTCATCAGTTCCCTGTCAATCTCGCCGGATCCCGGGATGACCCTCCCGCCGATAGTACGACTTCCCTGCCCCCCGATGGCAACCGGGTCTCCGAGGTTGACTTCTTCTCCGTTAACAAGAACAGGGTCGCCGTCGATCGTGCTCACGACAAGGATGATAAAACCTCCTGCGCCGCTATTAATGTCAAGAAAGAGAATTCCCATGGTGACGCCGGTACAAGTTCCGATTTCGATCGTGTAAATGTAAGTATATACATATATACTTGAATTCTATACCGTCCATGCATTTATAATTGAATTATTGTGAAATTTATGTTTATTTTTTCTTAATTTAGACTGGGTTGCATCTTCGTACTACCAATACCGGAAGTGATCAATCCACCGTGGACGACGGAGAATCATCGGAAATGGAAGAGAAACGAGCTAAGAATGAGGTAAGAATTCTTTTTTTCAATTTGAATTCATTTGGTCAAAGTTTCAATTTATAAGGTCGGCTCTGGGATCGCATCTGACTTTTAGTGGTATTGGACTTTTCCTTACAGCTAGCTCAATTACAAGTAGAATTGCTGCAAATGAACGCAGAGAATCAAAGGCTAAGAGATCTGCTTACTCAAGTAAGCAACAATTATCATTCTTTACAGATGCATTTCTTGACCTTAATGCAACAGCAGCAGCAGAATCATGCCTCAGAAATCACCCAAGAACACGAGGTAATTCTTCTTAAATTCTCTTAAATTAAAAGGGTAGTTTTATAGTAAATTTAAAGGGATTAATGGGTATGGGTTGTTTTTATTGGTTTCGATCAGGTTCTTGATGGAAAATCTGAAGAGAAGAAGCATGGAGTGGTGGTTCCGAGGCAATTTATGGATCTAGGACCGTCGGGGACGGCGGAGACAGACGAGGTATCTCATTCTTCTTCTGAAGAAAGAACGCGTTCTGGGTCACCTCCGAACAATATAGAGGTTGCATCGTCCAAGGATTATGTTAGGAGCAGTGGTAAGAACGAGACTGTTGCGTTTGATAAAGACACTTCCAGCATCCGGGATGGTAAGAGAAGAGAAGAAAGCCCTGAAGAATCTGAAGGTTGGGGTCCGAACAAGGTTCAGAAGTTGAATTCCGCCCCTAAAAATGGTGTTGATCAGTCTGCTGAGGCCACCATGAGAAAGGCTCGTGTCTCAGTTCGAGCTCGATCTGAAGCTCCCATGGTATGTTATTGTCTAAAAACTCAAAAATTTTTCACAGGAACCTGTAAAATCTGGTAGAAATATATATAATTAACCGGCTCAATTGATTGAATTGCAGATTTCTGATGGATGTCAATGGAGAAAATATGGACAAAAAATGGCTAAAGGAAACCCATGTCCACGAGCTTATTATCGTTGCACCATGGCAGTTGGTTGTCCTGTTCGCAAACAAGTATGTATATTTCATAATTGTATTTGTTAATCTCTCGATTTTAATTGAACATGATCTTAAAGCATAGGACTAATATATGGTTAAATTCACAGGTTCAGCGTTGTGCGGAGGACAAATCGATCTTAATTACTACTTATGAGGGAAATCATAATCATCCACTTCCACCTGCTGCAATGGCAATGGCATCGACAACGACAGCTGCAGCTAGTATGTTACTTTCAGGGTCAATGTCTAGTGCAGATGGGATAATGAACCCTAATTTGTTAGCGAGAGCAATCCTTCCTTGCTCCTCAAGCATGGCAACGATCTCAGCTTCTGCTCCATTCCCAACTGTCACATTAGACCTCACTAATTCACCAAATCCTTTACAATTCCAAAGACCCCCAACCCAATTCCAGGTCCCATTTCCAGGGCAACCCCAAAACTTTGGCTCAGTCTCAGCCCCACAGTTGCCTCAGCCTTTCGGTCAAGCACTCTACAACCAGTCAAAATTCTCAGGCTTACAATTGTCTCAAGACATGACTCCTTCCCAATTAGCCCACCAAACTCCTCCTGTCCAACCTCACCAACCACAACCGCCTACCCTGGCTGACACAGTAAGCGCGGCCACCGCTGCCATCACGGCGGACCCCAACTTCACCGCTGCCCTTGCAGCTGCCATCTCCTCCCTCATTGGCGGCTCTCACCCTAGTAGTAATAGCAACAAAAACAACAGCAGCAGCAACGTCAACAAGCAATAAGATCAGCACTTCCTTTTTTCCTTTTCTTTAATGTTCTTTCGTTTTTTTCTTAGAAGAGATTCAGATTACATGTTCATATTTTTGTTATGGGGAGGGTTAATTAGAAAGATTGAAAAAAAAAAGTGTTTCATATCTACTTGTTGTTTTATTTTCCAATAACTTCGTTTAAATTTTAAGGCCATAGTATATGCTATCACGTTCACAATCCATTATCGTTTCAAACCTTTGTAATGGCTAAATCTGCTTATAGCTATCTCAATAAAAAAAAAATATATATATATATATAGTTTTTCCAACCAAGTGACAATTAAAGAGCAATCCGGGCGAATACAGAAAAATACAACAATGTAGTAATCCTCAAAGGAATAATCTTACGTTAATTTCTAGTGCATTCTTCTCCTTTTCTATGGTCAAGAAAATACGACCGCCATTATTTGACGGATGTTGTTATGGCAACAGGGCGATCGATTTGATGTCCACACAATTTAATTGTTTTTATAAATTGATATTTGTTAAATAATAAATATTAATTATTTTATCAATAAAAAAATATCTAAAATTATTTATTTGTAAATTAATTTTAATTTATTAAATAATAAATAAATTTTAATAAGTTATTAAATAGAGAAATATATATTAATTTCTACTTTAAAAAAGAGTAATGTTTCATGACCAACCGCTCCGCAAATTGATTGGTCCTTATAATTATTTTATATTCTTCTTTAGATATAACAATTTTTAATTTTTAGTTTTAAGTCTTGTGAATTCAAATTTTAAATTATTAAATCTTAAATTTAAATATTAAGTCTTAAAAACTAATAATATAAATCCTAACTTTAAAAATTTATACCTTAACACTTAAATTCTAAAACTCTAATATGTATCTTAAATTTTAATTAAACTTTAAAAAATTAGAGCTCTAGCACCCTAAATGCTAGTAAACATTAGAAAATCTAAATTCTAACATCCTAAGTATTGCAATTTAAAATAATCTAAAACCCTAACATGCTAAAAACTAATTTTTAATTTAAGTTTGAAAACTAATAAAAAGTTCAAAAAAATTGAGGGACTAAAAGAGTTTAAATTGCTAGATTGAGGACTAGTGTTTTAGTTTGACCATAACAAATGCAAATGAAATTGCGGAGGTGGGGCTGCCACGTACCGTTCAGCTTTGATCTAGAAGACTGTCGATCTCTTAATACTTATAAAAGAAAATTAAAATTTCATTAA